GTTCTTCCCCAGGACTGATGATTCACCCCTGCTAGGGCCTTTTCACTTCTCCTTTGGGGCTAAAAATACAGGGACCCAGGCATCCAGCTGGGCTAGGCTTCACCACGGATTGCACAATGCCCCTTGTTTGAATGCTGCTGACGCAGGCTCTGGGTTGGGGTGGGGGAGTGAGTTGCTCTCAGACCAGGCATGCTGAGGTCAGGGCCTAGAACCCCTTCACTTCCCCTTTCCTGGGCTGAGGACCTGGGGGCTGGGCTGACATGGGAGGTGCTGGGTCCAGGGGATCCCTGGACTTGGCCGTGGCCCCTGGAAATGCAACTTCTTCCCCTAGCCCCAGGTAGCCTAGGGGTCTGGCTCCCGGAATCCGGCCCCCTTCAAAACAGAGTCCCACTTAGGAACTGGGGGCAGAAGAGAGCAAAAGGGGACTAAGACAGAGATGGTCAGAGCCAGGGAGACAGGACTACAGAGGCAGAGAGATAGGGACAGAAAGAGACCAAATGAGAGACAGACAACAGACCCATACCTTAGAAACACACAGAGAGACAGCTAGAAAAAGGAGCAACCACAGAGAGACCACCCCACCCCTCCCAACAAAATCCGGAAGGACTGAGGGAGAGAGGCAGGTCAGGGCTCTCTGCTCAGGCCAAGCTGGGGGAGAGCCTCTGGAAGAGGTCATCAACAGGCGGTCCAAAGTGCATCCCGGCTAGGCAGGACAGCGGCGGGGGGGGGGGGGGGGGGGGGGGGGGGGGGGGGGGGGGGGGGGGGGGGGGGGGGGGGGGGGGGCGGGAATGGCCGGGAGAGGCGAGGCCCCGCCCTGCGTGCTCCCTGCTGGCCTCTGCTGCCCCCTGCCGGCTCCAGCCACAGGGCTCAGGCGCGAAGAAGATGCAGAGACCAGGCTGCTTTGAGGTCACTCTTCATTCCCTCCCCGCCCCGTTCCCGAGCAGCCTGCCCACTCCCAGCCCTGCCAGCTCACAGGGTGCCCCCAGGGCCTGTAGGTGGTGCAGGCGTCTTGCCCGTGACCTTGTTGGCGCAGTCCAGGAGAGCAGTGTGAATGTCCTTGGCACAGGCAATCTGGGCTTTGATGACCGCCAGGTACTGTGGGTAGGGCAGGCTGTCCGGCTGCACGGCGTCCGGTTTGGTGGCCGTGGGCACCAGAGTTGGAGAGTGCTTGGCGCTGTCGCAACTCTGGGACAGGCACTCATGGGCCAGGCGCTGTGGACGGGCAGGCAAGGTGCGGCATCAGTGTCACTCCCGGGGCTCCCAACCCCACCCCAAGGGCCAGCCTTGGGTAGCCTGCTTGGCCTCTGGACTCCCAGGGGCTTGGAGTCAGAGCCTGGCCCTGCCAACCACGTGCTGGGTGACCCTGAGGCACGCGGCTGCTTCTCTCTTGAGTCTTTTTCCTTCTTTGGAAAACAGAATGGGTTTAATCACTGCCTTTGCTACCTCGTCAGGTGAGAGTGGTGAGAACAGCGTGAGAGACAGCCGCAGAGCCTAGCACATCATGGAATGAGTGTCAGCTGCCGGTACTGGGACTGTCCTAAACCCCAGCCTTGACCCTGGCAGTGACTTCTCTGATGACACCTACTCCTGGTTTTCCTCCTCCTCTTCTGGCTGCTCTGTCTAGCTCCTGCTTACTCTGCCCAAGCCCTAAGTGAAGCAGTTCCCAGGCCTCAGCCCCTCTCATTCTCATGGCCTCTCACGGCTGTCCCACCCATATGCACCACTCAGCTCTCACCTCTGCAGTGACAACACCACACCTGTGTCCCCAGCCTCCCCTGAAATCCCAGAGTTCTTGTACCCTCCCCACCAAACTGTTCCTCTTCCTCTTCCTGGGTCCCTATCTCAGGAAGGGCACTGCCATACCAACTGGAGCCCTGGGCCTCATCCTGGAGACCGCTCCTTCCATGGTCCGGCAGCCCCATAGCCTGTACACAGAGCCTTCGGTGTAGCTTTCCCATCTGCTCTTCCCCAATTCCTCAGGGCCCTGTCCTGGTGCAGCCTAGCCCACCTGAATCCTGTCATGGTTGCCTCCTTCGGCTCTCAGCCTCCACTCTTGGCTCCTCTGACCCATCCTTCACTTGGCAGCCAAAGAATATAGCAGCCATATTCCTAAAAAAGCCAGCACGTCCACGTTCTTCCCTGCTTAAACTCCTCCACTGCTCCCCAGCACTCTCAGGGCTATATTCAAAATACAACAAGCCCTGGGGCACCTGGGTGGCTCAGTCAGTTAAGTGTCTAACTTCGGCTCAGGTGATGATCTGGGGGTCCTGGGATTAAGCCCCACGTCAGACTCTACGCTCAGCGGGGAGCCTGCTTCTCTCTCCCTCTGCCCCTGCCCCCTGCTCCCGAATGTACATGTGCTCTCCCTCTCAAATAAATAAATAAGAAATCTTAAAAAAAAAAAAAAATTCCAACAAGCCCTAATGCCTGCTATACCTCAGCTAACCTGAATTTCATGACATTCCTAAAGGGAAATTAAAGTAGAACCTGTTCCTTCTGGTTGGAATACCTTTCTACCACCACCAGGCTTCTCAAATTCTGACTTTTCCCTCAAACCCCAGTTTATTTTATTTTTTAAAAATATTTTATTTATTTATTTGACAGAGACACACGGCAAGAGGGAACACAAGCAGGGGAAGTGGGAGAGGGAGAAGTAGGCTTCCTGCTGAGCAGGGAGCCTGACGTGGGGCTCGATCCCAGGACCCTGGGATCAGGACCCGAGCCAAAGGCAGATGCTTAGTGACTGAGCCACCCAGGGGCCTCAAACCCCAGTTTAAAATAATGATGATGATGATGTCACTGCAGGAAACGTTTGCCACGTGCTTAGTACCATGTTACGCTTTTTACATATATGATCTTGCCGTCTTTCCCCAAAATCCATTTCTCAAAGGAGAAACCCGAAGCTCACAGGTAGAGACTGGTGGTAGACTGGTGGTCCATCCAGATTCCAGAGGCTGTGCTCTTAGCCACCTGCCCTCCTCGAAACTCCTGCCCCCTTCCATTTTTGCTCCAGCCTCAGCTCAGATGTGCTCTCTACCAGTAAACCTCTCTGAGCCACCCTCTCTTCTCCCTGCCCCACCCTAGGCAGAGTCGGGTGCCTTTTTTGGGCTTCCACAATCCCCTGAGCTTCCCTCATTTTAATCCTGACCCCTCCTCCTGTGCCTCCCCCATCACAGCCCTGACTTCTGTGGCCTGGGCTTTTCCTATTACAGCCCTGACCACTCTCAGCTGTCACTGTTTGGGGATGTATGTCACCCCACTGAACTGGAAGCTTAGTGAAGGCAAGGACTGGAGCAACACTGTGCCCCCAGCATCAGCTGAGGCACAAGTGTGGCCCCTAGGAGATGCCCAGTGTGTGCTGACAGTTCCTGAAGACCTGGGGACTGAGGCAGGACTGTGGTCACCCAGTGTGTAGGAGGCCCCTTACCAGGCAGAGCTCCAGCTGGTCACAGAGTGCGTAGAACTCCTCCAGACACTTGTCAAAGCGCTGTATGGGTCCATCACTGCTCTTTCTGTAGCCCAGGAGAAGAAGGTGACTGGAGAATGGATTTCCAATCTCTGAGACTTCAGTGTCTACCCAACCAAGTATCCATCAGGAAACCAAGTTTAGGCCCAGAAGGCCCAAGGCAGGGCCTAAGGGGCTGTTTTAGAAGAGGCAAAAGAGCAAGCCGGGTCGCTAAGGAGTGGGGCTCGAAAACAGAAGGAAGGGGGATAGGTGGGTGGGGGTCCGGGTATGAGGTTCTAAGACTGGGGAAAGGGGACTATACTCACTGTCCGTTGTCAATGTTAGTGTTCTGAATCAAGTTCTGGGCTGCAACCTTCATCAAGGTCTAGTTAAGAAAAAAAAAAATGCAGAAAATAGAGAAACAGAAGGGGACACTTTTGATAGGTCTACACTCTTAAGATCTATTCGATTTCGGGGCGCCTGGGTGGCTCAGTTGGTTGAGCGTCTGCCTTTGGCTCGGGTCATGATCCGGGGATCCTGGGATGGGCCGGCGCCCGGCTCCCTGCTCAGCGGGGAGTCTGCTTCTCCCTCTGCCCCTCCCCCGCCCCCCTCATGCTTGCTCTCTCTTTCTCTGAAATAAGGAAAATCTTTTAAAAAAATATATTCAATTTCAAGCTTCCTCTTCACTTGGCACCTCTCCTCCTGTCAATCCAGAGTAGCAGCCATATTTTCCCAAAGGCTCGCTCTCACCTAGGGTTCTCCCAATAATCTCTCCGACATATCTTACAGTCCTCCCACATCCACCAATCACAGGCAGAATCTCTGTAGAGGCCAGTCCTTTCCTCAGGCTTTAACAACCACAGCCTTGTTTTACCTTTAAACTCCCTCCCACTCGAGTTCCGGCCATTCCCAGGCCCAACATCCGTACTGATCCGCTCACACTGTCAATCCGCAGAGCTTCGCTTTGGCCTCATCAAGAGGACCAAATGGCATTCCGCTTTCCTGCCTAATGCTCCTTTGCTCTCTCCCAGACTAAAGAGCCCCTCCGCCCTCCCCCTTGGAATCAGAGAACCAAACCCCGCTAGCTTCTAGCAGCTCTCGGCCAATCACCTGTAGACTCTCCTTCAACTGCGGGATGAGCATCTTATAACGCTGCACCGGATCGAAGTCCTGTTGCTGTTGCTGCAAAAGCCCGCTCTGGGCAGGCCCCACCAGCTGTGCTGGTGGTTGCGGCTGCTGTTGCGGACCCGGGCCACCAGACGAACCCGGACCCGACACACCCGCAGCAGACGAAGCGGCTGCAGCCTGCGGCTGGGACGCAGCCATCTTTCTCAGTTTAGCGCACCGGAAGTGCGCCACAAGAGCGTCTCTCCCGGTTTCTTTTTAGCGTTCCTGTCTCCAGGCCCCGCTTGCTAGTTAGCTCCGCCTCCCAAATAACTCAGCCAATGGGAGGAAAGAATAACCGCCTCCCGGAGTTGACTCTCAAATAAAACGTCCAGATTGAGATACCGACTCGCCAATCACAAGAGGCTCTTCCTCCCTCGCTCCGCTCTTTACCCAGCCGTTTGCCAATCCGGGTGTGGGTCTAATCCGGACTCTATTTCCCAGAAGGCCTCGCGGCCTGAGGCGACCTGTCGGGTCCTCAGCGTCTTGGCGGCAGTTGGTGGAGCCGGAGCTGGGAGTCCGTCTTTGGCGCTGCCTGCGCGTTTAGCTGAGTCTCCACTGGAATTCTTCACCAGCCTACCTCCTTCCGATCCTGCCTCGGCAGAGAGCGGCGCCAGACCGAGCCCTCCCTCGGATTAGGCGCCCGCCGACGTCGGTACACCCCTCCGCGTCTCGCCGCGGCTCAGCAAGGACCCCGTCCGGGCTTCCTTCGCCTTGTCGCCATGGCGCCCACCATCCAGACCCAGGCCCAGCGGGAGGATGGCCACAGGTAGGCGCCACGCCACCTGGCTGTACCGCTTTCGTCTAGGTCTATCCAGGTTTCGGCGAGGCGGGGGATCGGGCGCGGGTGTCTTACTACAACGTCACCAGCCCCCCGGGTCCGCCAGTGATGTCAGACCCTCGCCGCGAACGCCGTGACGTCACGCAGTGCTCACTTTTGACAGAAGGGGTGGGTTCCTTCAGGAATGGGGTGTTGCCCCCAGCTCCCTGTCATGGAGTTCAGGGATTAAGCTCTTGGAAGACTGTCTAGAAGGGATTGTGCGTTTATTACTTCAGTCAGGCGTTTGGAGAACCCCTTTGCTAAAAGCAATTGAGCACGTAGTTCTATTAAAGCACATGAAGACGGCCCCTCCAAAAGGGATTGAGCAGTTGGATTCATTCATGAAAGCGTTTGGAGACACTTTCTCTACAAGGAGTTGAATCCTAGGGTCCTTCCGTTAAAGTTCTTGGAGCACCCCTCTCAAAGGGATTACCGTTTGTCACCCCCTCCTTCCCTTTTTTAAAAGCTTGGAGAACCCCCCCCTTAATTCTTCTGTCAATCCTGTTTTCTCCATCTTTCTGTCAATGTCTCTTTCTCTTACCTACCAGGCCCAATTCTCACCGGACTCTGCCTGAGAGGTGAGCCCCATTGGGGTTTCCCAGAACGGGTGGGCCAGTGGGGGCTGGGAGCAGAGGTGGGGCAGCAGGGGCTGGGTTTTGAGCCACTGTATTCCCAGGTCTGGAGTGGTCTGCCGAGTCAAGTATTGCAATAGCCTCCCGGACATTCCTTTCGACCCCAAGTTCATCACCTACCCCTTTGACCAGAACAGGTGAGACTGAGATGGAGGAGGGCGAAACAACTCAGATCATGAGTTCCTTGAGGGCAAGGATTGCTTCTTTTGTTGACTGCTCTCATCTCAGGGCCTACAACAGTGCCTAGCAATATGGTAGTAGGTGCTCCATAAATATTTGTCAACGAACGAAACAAGCAGTGTCCAAGTCTTTTCCCACTGAAGAGCCAGCCTTCTGACTCCAACATGGGGGACACTCCCAATTTGAGTTCCTCCCTGGAAAAGCTTAGGCTCTGGGAAGCAGGAATGTGAAGGGTAAAGCTGGAATCAGGAAAACATAATGGGTATGTTTCCCCACCCAGGTTCGTCCAGTACAAAGCGACTTCCTTGGAAAAACAGCACAAACACGACCTCCTCACTGAGCCAGACCTGGGGGTCACCATTGATCTCATCAACCCCGATACCTACCGCATCGACCCCAACGGTGTGTGGGAAGGCAGGGAGGGCCTGCTCTAGGCCAGCAAAGGCCAGGCCCTCCCTCACAGCCCTCATAGTCCTCCTACCGCTTTGTTCTCCTCTAGTACTCCTAGATCCAGCTGATGAGAAGCTTTTGGAAGAGGAGATTCAGGCCCCCACAAGCTCCAAGAGGTGAGAGTGTGCTGAGTGGGGACTGGAGATGGGGAGGGGGGGAATCTATGATGGAAGGAGGGTGGTGGGTCCTAGGTGCCTAATACTCTACGCCCAGATCCCAGCAGCATGCAAAGGTGGTGCCGTGGATGCGGAAGACTGAGTACATCTCCACTGAGTTCAATCGTTACGGCATCTCCAACGAGAAGCCTGAGGTCAAGTAAGGTGTGGTGGGTAGGGAGGGAAAGTGGAGATTTCAGGTGTGTCCAGTGATCTCTAAAGGCCTCCCTCTTTGCTCCTAGGATTGGGGTTTCTGTGAAGCAGCAGTTCACGGAGGAAGAAATATACAAAGACAGGGATAGCCAGATCACAGCCATTGAGAAAACTTTTGAGGATGCCCAGAAATCGGTATTTGAAGGACTGGGATGGGATGGGGGTTGGGGGCAGACCAAGGTGCAGTTCCAGAGCTCCACATCCTCCTCACCCACGCTGTTTTTGCCCCCACCAGATCTCCCAGCATTACAGCAAGCCACGAGTGACACCGGTGGAGGTCATGCCTGTCTTCCCAGACTTTAAGGTCAGATCCAGGGCAGGAGGCAGCAAGGGATAGCCTGCCATCTCTGCTTGTCCCAGTCTAATCCCAGTGCTCTTGCCCCTAGATGTGGATCAACCCATGTGCTCAGGTAATTTTTGACTCCGACCCAGCCCCCAAGGACACGAGTGGTGCAGCTGCTTTGGAGATGATGTCTCAGGCCATGATCAGGTAAGTAAGTGGCCCCATTGCCCACCTTGGCCTGTTCCTCACTGCTCCTTTGTCCTCACTCTTCACCCTTCCTCCTCTTCGCCCATCCAGAGGCATGATGGATGAGGAAGGGAACCAGTTTGTGGCCTATTTCCTGCCTGTGGAAGAGACGCTGAAGAAACGAAAGCGGGACCAGGAGGAGGAGATGGACTATGCACCGGATGATGTGTGCGTGGGTTGGGATTAGGTTTTGGGAATTGAGGACTGGCTCTCCCTTTTCTCCCTCAGAAGAAAGAAATGGGGCTGCTGACCTTGTTCCCCTCGTCCTCATCAGGTACGACTACAAGATCGCTCGGGAGTACAACTGGAATGTGAAGAACAAAGCTAGCAAGGGCTACGAGGAGAACTACTTCTTCATCTTCCGGGAGGGTGACGGGGTTTACTACAATGAACTGGAGACGAGGTACTTGGTACACCCCTACCTCAGATTAGCCTGGGCCTGTGCTTTAGAATCCCGAGCCTAGGGTACGCAGGAACTACCTTGGAGGTCATTTGGAGGCGTTGGAGGTGTTTCAAACAAGAACAGAAGCAGCTTGCTTGAGCATGTGAGCTGGACCTGGTTCTAACACACGAACCCAGGAAAAAAATCTCAAGATTGAGCTTTTTTGTAGGGTGAATAGCCAAGTTCCCTCCGACGTAATAAGAGACTTCATGTGAAAGTCAGCATAGGCAGAATACAGAGTAATACATCAAATGAGTGTAAATATTTTAAATGAAATCCTGGACACCCGAGTTAAAAAAGGTGACCCCCACAAACTTTCTCCTGAGAGCTAGAAGTTTACTCCTGTGCTAGGGACCTTGGTGTATGTAAGGGTTGGGAAAGTGTGACCTTGAGTTTGTTTAAAGCAGAGATCACAAACTCTGATCCCATGTAAAAGGTAGCACTGTGGGCTGGTGGGCTCTGGGTGACCTGGAGCTCTTGGCAGCCTCCAAGGGGCACCATGACCTAGCCCAGCAAAGGGCTCCAACCTATTGTTGCTATTCTATGGGAAGGAAAAGTCCCAGTGGAGCCACAGGTTAACATTTTCCGAAAGCCAGCAATCTAGATTCTGTGCTTTTAAGTGTTGCTAATTCACCTTAAATCTGTTACATATATGTAACACGTGTGTGTGTGTGTGTACATTTTATAAATACATGGGACTCATGGAGCTATTAATCTTCCCTTTCCCTTATCCAACCTCTGAGTTTAGTCTCCTTCATTCAACCTGCATTTATTCTGATCTGTTTTGGACTAAGCACTGGTGAGGAAGTAAGAACCAAGTCAGAGTAGATCCCCCACTGGGGTCTTTAAAAAATGCATCTTCCACACACCCCTCCCCACCAACCTGCCCACTGCAGGGTCCGCCTGAGTAAACGTCGGGCAAAGGCTGGGGTTCAGTCTGGCACCAATGCCCTGCTTGTGGTCAAACACCGGGACATGAATGAGAAGGAATTAGAAGCCCAGGTAACAAACATCACTGGCCCAGGGCACCCGTGGAGAGGGTGGGGGTGGGTGAGGAGAGAGACAGAAGCCTGACAGAACATCCTCCTTCCCCTCGACCCTGCTGCTTATAGGAGGCACGGAAGGCCCAGCTGGAGAACCATGAACCCGAGGAGGAAGAGGAAGAAGAGATGGAGACAGAAGAGAAAGAAGCTGGGGGCTCAGGTAAAGCTGGACAGGCCAAATCCCAGGAGCTCTGGAAGGGTGGGAAACTGGGTCTCACTTCTTCCTACTCCCTTACAGATGAGGAGCGAGAGAAAGGCAGTAGCAGTGAGAAGGAAGGCAGCGAGGATGAGCGCTCGGGCAGCGAGAGTGAACGTGAAGAGGGTGACAGGGATGAGGCGAGTGACAAGAGTGGTAGCGGCGAGGATGAGAGCAGCGAGGACGAGGCCCGGGCCGCTCGGGACAAAGAGGAGATCTTTGGCAGTGATGCGGATTCGGAAGACGATGCGGATTCTGATGACGAGGACAGAGGCCAGGCCCGTGGCAGTGACAATGACTCGGACAGTGGCAGTGATGGGGGTGGCCAGCGGAGCCGGAGCCGCAGTGCCAGTCCCTTCCCCAGTGGCAGTGAGCACTCCGCCCAGGAAGATGGCAGTGAAGCTGCAGCTTCCGATTCCAGTGAAGCCGACAGTGACAGTGACTGAGTCCCAGGTCCTTCAGGGTTGGTGCAGACATGATTATAATGCGATTACTACGCGCAGGAAGGCACTTTTCGAGTGGTCTGTTGGCGAGCCCTTCCCTTTGTTTCCTTCATCTCCTCCAAGCCTTGCTGTTAATAAAGCCGACTTTTCTCCCTTTATGTCGCGTCCCAGCCCTGTGGTCTCATTCGCTTTATACCTCTCCTTCCCCCCTCCCCCGCCGCCCCATCCCAGGAGCTCAGTGGCTTCAGCTTAAGGCCGCTAGGTTTTCCATAAAGTGTAGCATAACAAAGGTCAGAATCCTTTTTTGTTTTTGTTTCTTGTTTTTTTTTTTTTTTTTCCAAAATAAGCCCAGACCATTAAACAAGTGAAACTCCAACAAGTCTTCTCCAACAGCGAGAAAAACTGTACAGTTACTCAAAGCTGATTCTGCCAGTGGGGCTGGGGATAGGAGGGAGGGCGAAATCATGGTGGGGGGAAGGGGCTGGGGAGGGGCTGGGGCAGAAGAGGGTCAGGGTCCTGCCCATCAGAGTGGGGCCGCCTGCGTCCTGCACACTCTGCTGTCAGGTGGAGGGAGGGGGGCAGCTCTTGCCTCCCATTGTGTGTGTGTGTGTGTGTGTGTGTGGGGGGGTGTCCCTCACCACCTCCCAATGCCGGCAGAGCCAGCTCACCCTGATGGGTAGTGAAGAAGACAGAACTGGCTGGGAGGTGGTGAGGGTCCTGTAAGAGGGACACCCTGCTGATTCCAAACGAGGTGGCCCCTGTCCATCCCACTTCCCGGGGCTACTGGGAGAGGGGGACTGGAGAAGCCCTGGGAGCTTGAGGGGAATGAGCAAAGGCACAGAAACATGGAGGGGCCGGGGTGGGGGACTTGCATAGGTTGATGAGTGTGCAAGAGGTACATAAATAAACCTGACACCCCACCCAGCCCGGCACTGGGAGAGGAGGTGGGGACCTTAGCAGATCCCCAGGGCCACCCCACCCCCTGGCTTCCTCCCCCTCCCTGGGCTCAGAGCTGAGGGAGGTCCAGACCAGGAGGGCAGAGGCAAGAAGGTCTGGGGAATGGGCTGAGAGTGCAGGGAGGGCGGTGGTTTTAAAATTTTTTTTTTTTTTTTGGTTTTTTGTTTTTTCCCAACATTTTGTATCTTTAATAACATACACAATGGTTACCAGCCATATTCATAACAAAAGTTATTCATAAAATGTATCTAAAAATAACATTTTTTTTTCCTTTTCGGTGTGAAAAGCTTGAGAATGTCCCAGTGGGGGGGGTGGGGGGGTTGAGTGGGAAGAGGGGGTTGGAACGGGACCCTGGCTTCCCCACAGCCTGAACCCCCAAGTCCCCTCCCTCCACCTGGGCCCCAGCACAACCCCTCAGCAGGAACAGAGACCAGAGGGTCTGTATGACTCCACAGCTGGGACAAATCTCTGGGTTATGATATAGTGTTCCACTTAAGTGAGGTCATGACAGAATGGGGGGTGGGGAAGGATGAAAGCAAAGAGGGGTGGGGAAAGAAACCAAAAACCAAACAATCCCCTTTCCCTTATTCCTTACCCCAAGTCTTTCAGCAACCAGACCTGGGAGTGGACAAGGGTGTGTGTTGGCTGCGGGAAGGGGATGTTAAGGCAACAGACTTCCTGACCTCACTGGCTGCCCTGGTGCCCTGCCTTCAACCTCTGCCTCTGGGGAGCCAGGACTGGGGGGAAGCGGGGAAGGGCAGGGGGGCTGGAGGAGGGGGCTCTGCCCTCTCCCCTCGTAAAATTCAGGCTCCCCCTGCCACTTTCTTGGCTCAGAGAGAGGCCTGGGGATTCTAAAAATGAGAGGGAATGATCAGAGAGAAAAACCGTTAAGAACTATATAAATATGCATCTTAAATAGGCCTAAGAAATTAATTGTAGAGAACCTCTGATAAACAGGGCAAAAGGAGGTGAGTGAAAGGAGGGTGGCTCCTGTCCTCGGGGGATGGTGGGGATGAGGGAGGAGAAGAAGGTGGCAAGGAGAGAGAGAGAGGCTCCTCTCCTCATCTACCACCTCCTCTTTAGCTCCTCTCAAATAACAACCAGGAGAGCAGGTTATCAGCCCTGCTTCTCTCTCCCCAAATGTCAGATGGTTCTGAGCAGGTCCCATAAGGTAGGGGGAAGCTGCTCCCTTAGGAGGGGCAGGTGGCCGGCAGTCTGGAGGAGGCAGGGGTGGGACGGGGCCAGGGGGGGATGAGGGAGGGAAGGAGGGGCAGTCAGGCTGGCCGGTCCCTGCCCCCTTTATCCTGGCTGCCTCCTACCTCCCTGAGCCTCAGCAGAGATCCCTCGACGGGCCTGGGAGTGAGCAGGGCGTGTGCCAATGTTAAACAAAAGTTAAAAGGGTGAGAGAGTAGAAAAATACTAGAATGTATAGCTGAGCCAGCCCACCCTCTTGCTGTCGCGGAGAAGCCCGTTGGGGGTTGGCCCCCGCCCGCCGCCCAGGGAGCCTATGGGTGCGCTGGGCTGTGGGTCCCGTCAGATGGTGGAGGTTTTGTCTGTCCCATCTGTGGTAAGAAAGGGAGGAAGGGAGGAAGATCAGGAACTGGCGGGAGGCCCAAGAAAAGGCGCTCGGGTAGCCTGTCATCCCAGTCAGGCCCTCCCTGGAGGCTGGCCTCCCCTAGGGACCCCTCAGGATGCTCTGAGTTGCTCAGTTCAGAGGTGGAGACGCTGCTGGGTAGGTGGGAGCTGGGTCAGGGAAAGAGGAAATGCTCACCACCCAAGGCGTGTTCTGTCATGCTCAGACACAGAGACTCCAGAGTGGGATTGATCTCCAGGTCAGGCCCAGGGACCGGGCAGTCTGAGGGCGAGAAAGAACAGAGGCGAGGGCCGAACTGAGTGCGGAAAGCAGAACCTGGGAGACAAAGGACAGGATGGGCTGGTGCGGGGGAGGGGCTGAGAGGGATACGAGGAAAAGGAGGGAGGGAGGGAGGCAAGAGACAGAGAAACCGCATGTAAGACGCGGCACGCGCTCCCGTGGAAGGACGACGGGGCAGGGACGGAGGACACAGACGAGCCTGGGTGTCTCACAGAGCAAGCAGAGGCAATAATGGCAAGGGCAGAGGCTTAGCAAGGAAAAAAAAGCCTGACCAGCAGGCCGAGGCAGTGATGGGAAGCTGAGGGAGCTTCCTGGAGGCCACACGCTGCATGTTGCCTTAGGCGCAGTCTGGGCACCAGCCCCAGGCACTGGGCAGCCCCAGGCACTGGGCAGCCCCGAACTCCTTGACTGATGACCTGCTCTGTACTTGGTGCAGAAGCTTAATTAGAACCTTTCCCATCCCCACTTGGACTTGCTCCCCTGGGCAGGATGTCATCTGGGCAGGCCCAGCAGATGGGGCAAATCAGGACAGCAGCCATGGGGCTTGTCCTCAAACCATCTCTCAAGGGCCTCTTGTTCTGGTGTCTGGGAAACAGCCCACCTCCCTGAGCAGACCTGACCCCACCCCACACTGCTTAAAACCCCTTCCTTGGCCCCTCACTGCTATGGGGAGAAAGCCTGAGCTTTCTACCTGAGTTCAGAAGAGCCTGCTCCCACCTCCAGACTCACCTGTCATCACATCCCCAATGAACTCTGAGCTCAGGCCATGTCGGGACATCTAACTGTCTCTTCTTAGCAAATATTTCTTTTGACCTTGGGCGAGTCACCTGAGTCTCAGATTCATGACTGATATGGGAACAACACCAGCGCCCTCATGTATGCAGCCAGGAGGATCTGATTTGACGGCGTGGAAAGCCGCCGGACGGACACACAGTTCAGCACACAGCACGCCGGTAGAAAGAACTGTTCCAATTTTTTGCTCACGCAGTTCATCCATCCAGTCATTTACATCAGTTACAAATGCCTACCATGTGCCAAGCCCTATGCTAGGATGAACACAATGGACAGGGTCCTCTGCCTCTGACAGATGGCAGTTCACATAATCTCGTAAGTTAAGAAACCCACTGATTTGGCAGTTTATGTCATGAAGAGCTTAGGGTCACCTGCAAATCTAATTAAAAAAAATTTTTTTAAGTAAAACTCTATATCCAACATGGGGGTTGAACTCATAACCCTGAGACCAAGAGCTGCATGCTCTACTGATGAGCCAGCCAGGCGCCCTGTCACCCGCAAATTGAAGATCTCTCCAGAGGCAGCCCTTTCCAGACCAGCCTTCTCTGCCTCTGCAGCCTCAGTGGCCAGCAGCAGGCCAGGCCCAGGGCAGGGGACACCCCCACTCGACGAGCAAGGCAGGGCTAGCGTTTCTCTAACCTCCCTTTTGCCCACTTCACCCTCATTCTGATCTCTCTTCACTAGACTGGTCTGTGAGCTGAAGGAAAACAGCCGTCTCACCTCACAGACCCTTTAGTGTGGAACCTGATCTAAGAACTGAAGTCTCTGGTTCCTGCCTGGAAGAATCCCAGGGGACTGATGGGCAGGCCTCCCCTCCACAGAAACCTCGATGCTTTGACTGTCTCGTCCCCTCCACCCCTTCCAAACTGAGTATTTAACGATCCTCTAAGGAGACGGTGACAGAGACCAACAGGGACACTAAGGCTGTGAACACAGGGAGGGAGAGGTGTGGAGAGGTAGGGCTGGGAGAAGGGAAGAGAGAAGACTGAGAAAGCAGCAGGATCAGAGGAAGCAAACCGAAGTGGGGGAGTGGGGGGTGGCACAAGAAAACCCCGGATGTGGGAAGATGGGTGCAGACTGGCGGGAGGCAGAAGGAACGGCACTGAGAGGAGGGCCGCCTCAGAGTACGGCCGAGGCGGAGCCCCAAGCACAGGGGCAGCTTACCTGGAGGGAACATGAGAATGGCCTGGGGCGATGAATGGACCGGGAGGGAGTGGGTGCGCTGCACAGAGCTGCGGCTCTGGCTGGGCATGCTGTTGCTGCCTCCAGGGTTGGCAAACCACAGGTTCTGCACAGGGCCCAGGGAAAGAGAAAAGTGGTGAGCGGAGCGGGAAGAGGCCCAAGCCTGAGGCCCAAGCCCAGGCTTGGCGGAGCTGGCGAAGGAGCCTCTCCCCTCTGACCCGGGCCCAGGTGCAAACACACGGACACGCACAGCCCAGGCACCACCGCCCCAAACCCAGAAGTGCCAGGCCCTCCACTTCCCACTGGCTTACCTGTCGGCCCTGGCCCCCAAGGCTGGGGCTGGTGAGGGCATGTCGGGGGGAGATGCCCCCAATGCCTGAAGGGCTCAGAAGGCCCATCCTGCTGGGTGGGAGGGCCCGGGGAGGCATGGGGAACTGCCGCTGGGTCCGCCGGGCTACCCCCATCCCCACAGAGCCAGCTATGGGAAGTGAGTTGGAGCCGAACGCCCAGCTGTGAGAGAGTAGAAGGCACGGTGTCAGCTGAGGTGGCTGGGGCCCCGCCGTCCGCCCTTTCCT